TCATGAGATTTTCAGAAATTCTTATTTTCCTCTAAAAATGGTTTATTTTTTCCTTCCCAACTTTTCGAAGTAGATTTTTCTAGGCTATACTTTTTGTAGGTTTCTCTGGATGGCCTAACTTTCCCAGTTTTTTACGTTTTCCAGCTAAATAAAACTGAACATGGCATGGCCTAACTTTCCAGAAATCTCATTTTCTAGGCCATGACTTTTAGGTCACATTTAAATACGGATTCGAATGTTTTTAGAGATTTTCCTTATATATATATATTAGGTTGTTCGGAAAGTCCTTTCCATTTTTGATGTGTTGTTTTCAAACTTTGTTTGTTTGAACGGAGTAAAAGCGAGGAAGCTGTCGTTTTATCAGTATATTGGTGGGGTCTAATAGTGTCTGCACCCCAACGGAGATCATTCCCCCCTTTTCATGTAATGAGATATGCTCACCGTTTTCGGCTCTATTAATTTCCATTTTTGGACTATCATTTTAATTGTATTTATATCTTATCTTAAATTAGCTGATATCGAACGCCAACTAGTAGCGGTTAACAACGCAAATGCACCCATTCGAACTACCATCACAACCTGGATTCAGTGATTTGAAAACGGGAATTCTTGTTTGACGAAAATCCCCCTTCAAAAAGGCAAATGTGCGCAACTTTTTTCCTCGGGTGGGCACCTGTTTGAATCTTCTCATCCTGCGTTGCACACATGAATGTTGGAATCAAACAATTGCTAGTGGTGATAAATGAGTACAGTGTGATTACAATAAGCAACATGCCAAATGGGTTGACAAAGGCACTCAACCACCAGACGTCTCGAAACGTGAAATTCGTGTTAAAAATGGGATGTTGTCGGTATGGTGGTCTACCAAAGAATGGAGTATTAGGAGCTGCCTGATAATAGTGTCACTTTTACGACCCATACCTATTCTTGTCAGGTGACATAACTCAGACTTTATGTGGATCTCCATTGGAGAGGAACGCAAAAGTTTATTTTGAAAATTAAAATTCGCAACCTCATGCGGGAAGGAAGACCCAGGCCGATCTCGGTGGATATGTCTAGACGATTCTGCCTTATTCACTGTATAGCTCTAACCTTCTACTTTCTGATTATCACCCAACCAGCCACTTCTAACGTCATCTTGATTGACGAAAATTTACTTCAAAAAAACGTATCAAAAATGGGTTGACTTGATTTTGAACTCGCTGTGACCGGAGTTCTGGAAGGAAGGCATCCACAATTTAGTGGGGCATTGACAGATAGTCATTGATAACGATGGTCATTACATCCAATTTATCCGACATCGTTTTGGCCTATTTTACTTTGAATGTATCTGACGCTAACAATGGAAAGGACTTTCCGAACAACCTAATAGTTTGAAATCAAAATCTCAAATTTTCGAAATTCTCGGCTCTCCAAGTCTTCTCCAAAGCAAACGTTTCCAGCACAATAATTCATCTTATTCTTGTCAATTGCTCATTGTAATGCGCCTTCTCCAATCGACCAAAACTAGGGAGTTATTTCCCGAAACTTGATTTTTAGAATCTCAAATACCTAAATCAAAACTTTGGATTTTCCTCCTTTTGTTCTCAAAAAATCTCATTATATCAATCAAAAAATGTCTCTTATGTGTTTCATATATCCAAACTCAAATATTTGTTTAATTCTTGTTGATTTCCTCCTTCCTCTTCCGAAACAATTTAACATCCGTATCCCCTGACTTTTATCAACTTTTATCTCATTCATTTTCCAATCAAACGCTCTTTATATTGTCTATCACTCATTCAATTCCAATCAAAACATTAATCAATCAATTTGTCAGTTTTCCCCCCATTCAAATGAGCAATCCTAATAGAAAGGAGCATTCAAGAGAGAACATCAATCAAGTGTCAAATTTACACCAGGAGGGGAGGGACAAATGACACTTTGTTAGGGGGAAGGGTCTAAACAGAAAAAACATGATGGCCTAGAAAATCACATTTTTGGGAAGTTAAGCCATATGGAATACTTGTCAGTTAGCCTAGCTATGATAGCCTAGAAAAAGCGTAGCTAGAAAATAAAACCATTTTTGGGAAATTCGGCCGGCTTTCAAATTATAAGGAAACATCTGTAAAACCATATGAATCTATTTTTCAATGTAGCCAAAAAACTTCATGGTCTAGAAAATCAGACTTTTGGAAAGTTAGGCCATATTGAGTTTCATTTAGTTAGTCTGGTTTAATATGACTTAAAAAATAGAACTGAAAAAAGTAGGTCCCCCATATTTCAAAAGTAGAAACATTTCAAAAAAGTTCTGAAATTTCTGAAAATCTCAAATTTATACATAAAACTTGGGAATTTTCCAACGTAATGACCTAGTTTCTAAAACTCTAAAACTCAAACTTTCACAAAGTCCGAATTTCAGTCTCCCGAAAGCATTTTTTGAACAATATTCAGATTTTTCAACAACAAAAAATACAAACTTTTTTTTGAAATTTATAACTCCAAAACCTATAAAATCTGAAAAAAAAATCTGAAAGCTATCTCATTTCCTGTGAAAGATATCGAAAAGTTGTCAACTGATAAAATATTGGCGATATTATGATGAACATTTTATTAGTTAACACAGAAATCAAGAAATTAAGATCATGGAGCTCAAGGTGCAAGTGGTAGATTGCCGTAGCATTTTGAGAAAGAGAACCTGTAAAAATATGTGAACTCGCGCCGAAGGCGCTCCAGCAGAGAGAAATCGAATGCCTGGTGCGCCTTCGACGCGATTCAATTCATTTTTAAAAAATGAAAAATTACAAGTTTCAAAAGGTGTACTGATTAGCCAGACTAGAAAGTCTGTTGATCCCTTTCGCCACGTAGAGGCTCAGTACGTGAAAGGGTAAAAGGTTTATTTGTCTAATGGGATCTTCTAAAACCCATAGGGGGTGGAGGGAGGGGTCCCCCATCCCCTAACAAAAAAAAACATGAAGTCACCCGAAAAACCCCTCTTTTCGGAGACCATTGTCGGTTAATTTTCAAAAGCTCCTTCTTCCTGATAAGAAGCCAGATGCATACCGCGTTTCATTGTTATCTCAATTTTTTAATCTTTGATAAAATCTTTTGCTACTCGGGGACGTTCAGTGATAAAACACCTAGCCATGAACCCGGAAACATGGCGGCCCTTAGGGCCTTCTAGTACTTTTTCACATCGGACCAATCGTCAGAAAAAAGCAAAAAAGACATTAAATGAGCAGCGTAGTGCAAAGAGCTTCTTACCAAGGAGAAGTTGCCTGTGAAAATTATCCAACAATAAAGATTCAAAGATTTCACATAGACTGATTTTTTTTCTTCCAATACGTGGCATATTTTTTAACGTGGATCCCTCTGTGTGACCTAATATTGATTGATTTATTGCGTAACGTGAATAAACTTTTTTAAATTAGGTCAAATTGCGCCGAAGACGCCCCAGCCAGCTTTTTGCTTTTTTTTTTGTTTCTCATGCATTTTCTTCCAGAACTTTCGATATTCATTCGCGAACGATGTTTTCCTCATTCGATCTACTTTTCCACACCATTACCTGTACTAATCAAACCGGATTGTTTCTTCTTCTTCTTCTTTTTGATTTTTTTTAACATCCAGGACAAATTGTTATAATACCGGCTAGTAATTTTCTTTTGATCCAATTTCAACCACATTTATCTCGATTCCTGTAAGAGGTACAGAGAAGTTGTCAACTTATGAAATATTGCTCATGTTATCACCAATTTATTATCAGTTGATCAAATTTTGAGATTAATTTTAAAAGAGCCGAGAGAATATTGCTCGAAGTTAGAAAGTCGGCGCTTGCCAGCTGAGCTACGCGATCGGCTGCCGACTTCCCAACTTTGAGCTCATATATCTCGGTTCCTGAAATATATCAAAAATTTGTCAACTGATAAAACATTTGTGATATTATCGTAAACAATTTATCAATTGACAACTTTCACATATCTTTAACAAACACCGAGATAAATTGCCTCAAAGTTCAAAGGCAAGGGGGCCCTTCTATTACAGGTTTTACGGTCACTTTTCCAGGCTGGCAAACGCCGACCTGTTAAATTTGAGCCCAATTATCTCGATTCCTGTGAAATATATCAAAAAGTTGTCAACTGATAAAATATTGCTCTGTTTATTGCCAAGATTTTATCAATTAACAAAATTTTGATATCTTTCAAAAGAGCCGATATAAATTGGCTCAGAAAAATAGTGAGGAGCGGAAGGCGCGCCAGAGGCGTCTCAGCCAGACTAGTTATACGTCAAAATCCGATTTTTGTGTCTTAAGAATGAAGTTAATTTTTGTGAAAATCCCAAGAAGTCTCTATTTTTAAGATACGAATACATTCTATATTATTACCTACTTGGCACATTATATACTGAAATTTGATACTTTTGTGTGCCCCGTCTTTTTGGTCATTTTTTTTCTATAATTCTAGATTTCTGAAAACCCGTATATACTATTCCATTCATCTCCAAAACCTCCAAATATCATCGAAAAACACTTCATCCTTCTTGACAATCTGCCAACAATTGTTTTGATGACACAAACACGTCCTTTTGGGGGGTATTACGTAATTTCTGATTCTAAGTGTGCCCTCCAGACACTTCCGAGATCCTATATGAACCTTTAAGAAGAATCTGAACCCACCCGGGAGTCGAACTCTCGTGGGTCAGTTTGCAAAACAAGCGTGCACCCACCTGCGCCAAGGTGACAAATCTTGCATGTAGGGAGGAAACGCATAGAGGATTGGGCAGCTTTCGGGCGCCGAACGCCTAGGAGAAGGGACACCTTGCTTTCTGTATTGTATATTTTATAGATAAAAAAAAATAGTAAAAAAGCTACTATACTCTTTGCATCTTCCCCCATTGAATTCAATTTTGTTGCACAACATACATACATCCTCTCTCTTCAAATCCCCGCCCCTTTTTCCGTTTCAAAAGAAGCTCCGCCTCTCAAACACATCCTTTGTTTCAGGAAACCTATGCTCCACATCTAAATGCTTCAACGGCTTCTGCTCTTCTTCTATATCATCTGCCACGTGGCAGGTGTCTGTCGCGACACAGACACGTGCATTGAGAGAATCAAAGAAGTGGTTGCTGCTCCGAGACGGTGAGTAATTAAGTGGCTTAATGGGCACGGACCACCCACTGAGTAGCTGAACAGCAGGTAGAGGATTAGGGAATCAATTAGGGGGAAAAAGAAATAGGATAGGTTAGGTAGGGATTATGTTTTATTTTGGATATAGTAAATACTGCATGGATAAAAAATGGCAAGAATATTAAAGTAGTAATTCGAGATTCTGACTTAAACAGTAAAAGTTAATTTATCTCGGTTTCTGTAACTGATATCAAAAAGTGGTAAACTAGTAAAATGTTTATCATAAAATTTCAAACATTTTATCAGTTGACCACTTTTTGATATCTTTTACATGAACCGAGATAAATTCTGTCAAATTTAAGACATCGGCAGCCGACCGCGTAGTTCAGTCGGCTAGACTTTTCACATTTGAGCCAATTTTTATCAGTTGACTACTTTTTGATATCCTTTACAGGAACTGAGGTAAATTAAGTCAAAGTTAAGAGGTCGGTGCTTGCCGGTTGAGCTACGAGGTCGGCAACCTACCTTTTAACTTTGATTCAAATTATCTCGGTTTTTGTGATAGATATCAAAAAGTAATAAACTGATGAATTGCTTATCATAAAATTTCAAACATTTTATCAATAGACCACTTTTTCATACCTTTTACAGGAACCGAGATAAATTGGGTCAAAGTTAAGAGGTCGGCAGCCGACCGCATAGCACAGCCGACCGCATAGCACAGCCGGCA